TGACAGCTGAAGAAAGGGACAAATTCCCTACCGGTCAGCACTGTCCCCAGTATGGATCCCCACTGGGACCCCGACTCAAGATCATGGGGACTGGAGTCATAAACATCTGTTGACCTGTGTTCAAGAAGGACTAAGGAGAATTAGGAAAAAGTTCATGAATTATTCAATGATGTCCACTATAACTCAGGGAAAGGAAGAAAATCCTTCTGCCTTCCTCGAGAGGCTATGGGAGGCCTTAAGAAAATATACTCCCCTGTCACCTGACTCACTCAAGGGTCAGTTGATCCTTAAAGATAAGTTGATTATCCAATCAGCTGCAGATATCAGAAGAAAGCTCCAAAAGTGAGCCCTGGGCCCTGAACCAAATCTGGAGGCATTATTAAATGTGGCAACGTTGGTGTTCTATAATCAGGTCCAAGAGGAACAGGTCCAAAGGAAAAACAAGATCAGAAAAACGCCACAGCCTTAGTCATGGCCCTCAGACAAACCTTGGTGGTTCAGAGATGACAGAAAAGGGAGCAGGACAATCACCCAGTGGGACTTGTTACCAGTGTGGTTTGCAAGGACACCTTAAAAAAGATTGTCCAATGAGAAGCCGCCCCCCTCGTCCATGTCTGCTATGCCAAGGCAATCACTGGAAGGTGCACTGCCCCAGAGAACAAAGGTTCTCTGTGCCAGAAGCCCGCAACCAGATGATCCAACAACAGGACTGAGGGTGCCCAGGGCAAGCACCTGCTCATGTCATCACCCTCACTGAGCCCTGGGTACGTTTAATCATTGAGGGCCAGGAAATTGACATCCTCCTGGACACTGGCACAGCTTTCTCAGGGTTAATCTCCTGTCCTGGACAGCTGTCCTCAAGGTCCGTTACCATCCAAGGAATCCTCAGACAGCCTGTAACCAAGTATTTCTCCCACCTCCTCAGTTGTAATTGGGAGACTTTGTTACAGATAGTAAGTATGCTTATCTAATCCTACATGCCCATGCTGCAATATGGAAAGAAAGGGAGTTTCTAACCTCTGGGGGAACCCCCATTAAATACCACAAGGAAATCATGGAGTTATTGCACACAGTGTAAAAACCCAAGGAGGTAGCAGTCTTACACTGCCAAAGCCATCAGAAAGGTGAAGGAGAAAAGGCAGAAGGAAACTGTCAGGCAGATGCCAAGGTCAAAATTGCTGCCAAGAAGAACCTCCCATTAGAAATACCTACAGAAGGACCCTTGGTATGGAGCAACCCCCTCCAAGAGATTAAGCCCCAGTATTCCCCCACTGAAACAGAATGGGGACTTTCACGGGGGCATAGTTTTCTCCCCTCAGGGTGGTTAACGACAGAAGAAGGAAAGGTACTTACACCCAAAGCTAGCCAGTGGAAAATACTTAAAACCCTCCACCAAACTTTTCATATGGGTACTGAAAACACTCATCAAATGGCCAAATCCCTATTTACAGGGCCAAATCTCCTCCGGACCATCTGACAGGTAGTCAAAGCATGTGAGGTGTGCCAAAGGAATAATCCCTTGGTCCATCCTCAGGCACCTTTGGGGGAACAAAGAATAGGTCACTATCCCGGAGAGGACTGGCAATTAGACTTCCACCCACATGCGTACGTCAAAGGGGTTTCAATAATTGTTGGTCTGTGTTGATACCTTTACAAATTGGATAGAAGCTTTCCCCTGCAAGACAGAGAAGGCTCAGGAAGTGATTAAAATCCTAATTTATGAAATAATTCCTAGATTTGGGCTTCCCCAAAGCTTACAGAGCGACAATGGTCCAGCTTCTAAAGCCACGATAACTCAGGGAATTTCCAGGGCACTAGGGATACAATATCACCTTCACTGTGCCTGGAGGCCACAATCCTCAGGCAAGGTCGAGAAGGCAAATGAAACACTCAAGAGGCACTTAAGGAAACTAACACAAGAAACTCCTCTCCCATGGCTTACTCTTTTGCCCATGGCATTGTTGAGAATCCAAAATTCTCCTCACAAAATGGGGCTCAGTCCATATGAAATGCTGTATGGACGACCTTTCCTCACAAATGACCTGCTACTGGATCAGGAAAAGGCCAACTTGGTCAAAGATGTAACTTCTTTGGCAAAGTATCAACGAAACCTTAAAAATCTACCTGAACGATGTCACAGAGAAAAGGGAACAAAGTTGTTTCAACCAGGAGCTCTAGTGTTGGTTAAATCTCTCCCCTCTACCTCCCGATCTATGGATTCTTTGTGGTAAGGACCATACTCGGTAATCCTCTCTACTCCCACTGCAATTAAGGTGGCAGGAGTGGAATCTTGGCTTCACCACACCCCAGTTAAATTTTGGATACCCCTGAGAAACCTGCAGGACCATCAGCTCAGGAGTCCCAAGATCAGCCAGACCAGCCTCAATACACCTGCAAACCACTAGAGGACTTGCATCTCCTATTTCGGAAGGAAACATCCCAGACTAAAAAGGCTCCTATCACTGATCCTGAGGAAGAAAAACCCCTTCCTCCTTAAAAAAGATAAGTGAAAATCTACATAATCTTTAACACCTCTCCTTGTCCCTTTAATGGAATCCTTTTACTATTTCATCATATTATTAAGCAGCATACTAACCATACTCTTTGCCATAGGACTACATACCGTAGCCAAATGAGTTCAACTAACAACTTCTACCAAGGACCCCTGGATCGACCTGCTGGCCCTTTCACTGGCCTAAAGAGTTCCCCTCTGGAGGACACTACAACTGCAGGGCCCCTACTTTGCCCCTATCCAGCAGGAAGTAGCTAGAGCCGTCATCGCCCAATTCCCAGCAGCATTTGGGGTGCCCTGTTTGGAGGGGGGATTGAGAGGTGAAGCCAGCTGGACTTCCTGGGTCGAGTGGGGACTTGGAGAACTTTTCTGTTAGCTCCAGGATTGTAAATGCACCAATCAGCACTCTAAAAACGTACCAATCAATGCTCTGTGTCTAGCTAAAGGACTGTAAATGCAGTGATCAGCACTCTAAAAACACATCAGTGCTCTGTGTCTAGCTAAAGGATTGTAAATGCACGAATCAGCACTCTGTAAAAATGCACCAATCAGTGCTCTGTGTCTAGCTAAGGGACTGTAAACGCACCAATCAGCACTCTGCTAAATGGACCAATCAGCACTCTGTAAAATGGACCAATCAGCAGGACATGGGCAGGACCAAATAAGGGAATAAAAGCTGTCCACCTGAGTCAGCAACAGCAACCGCTCAGGTCCCCTTCCAAGCTGTGGAAGCTTTGTTCTTTCATTCTTCACAATAAATCTTGCTGCTGCTCACTCTTTGGGTCCACACTACCTTTATGAGCTGTAACACTCACTGCAGAGGTCTGCAGCTTCATTCCTGAAGTTAGCGAGACCACGAACCCACTGGGACAAACAAACAACTCTGGATGCGCCACCTTTAAGAGCTGTAACACTCTTTGAGAAGGTCTGCAACTTCACTCCTGAAGTCAACAAGACCACGAACCCACCAGGAGGAACAGATAACTCTGGACGCGCCACCTTTAAGAGCTCTAACACTCACTGCGAAGGTCTGTGGCTTCACTCCTTCAGTCAGCAAGACTGAGAACCCACCGGAAGGAAGAAACTCTGGACACATCTGAAGGAACAAACTCCAGACACACCATCTTTAAGAACTGTAACATTCACCGCAAGGGTCCATGGCTTCATTCTTGAAGTCAGCGAGACCAAGAACCCACCGGAAGGAACCAATTCTGGACACACTTCAACTTCAGCACATTCCGTCTGGATAAAGGCTACTACCATAGAGCCAGGGTCTCTAGCCAGACCTAAATAGTTATCCTTGATTCCTCTTTCTCCTCCTCCCTCTGGCTGTCCTTCCCCAGGCAACCTTACAAGTCTGTTGATTCAAATGCTGAAATACATTTTGAATCTATTCCTTTCTCACCTGCTTTGGTGCTATCACTTTAGGCCAACCCACCACCACTTCCCACTTAAATCACCACAAACTACTCCTAACTCATCTCTTTTCACTTACTGCACTCCTTTCTCTATGCTGGAGCAGAACTGAGTTTTTCAGAACAGAAACCTAGAAAGCCACTCTTTGCTTAAAACTGTCGCTTCAATAACTTTTCCCTGAACTCAGAAAGCAATTCAAACTCTTTAATCTGGTCTACAAAGCTTAACTGACCTGGCCTCAGCCTCCTTCTCGCACTTTCTTTCCACTCTCTAGACCCACTGAAACCTTGTATATACCTTTCCATCTTCCTGGAATGTTCATTTCTCAGCTACATGCCTAGCTCTTTCTGTTCCTTGTAAGTCCTAGCTTAAAGAAACGTTTTCAGAGAAGCCTGTCTTCAAGTCAGCAGCTTTTTGCACTGTTCTCTATTACCAGATTGTTTTTCCTTTGGTAGAACATTTTGCAACTTGCAGTTTTTTTAAATTTAATTTTATTTTATTTGCCTGTTCACTTGTTTGTATTTGCTGTCTCCTAACTTTGGGAGAGGAAGCAAGACAGTCTCTAATCTTGTTTATCGCTGTGCCCCTAGTACTTGACACACTGAGACTCAATACATTATTGTTACTTAAAATACAATTTAGTTTTATATATAAATATACAAAAGGTATAAAAAGGAGAATCAAGACTAAACAGATATTTACCTCATGCTCATTTAAATGGGAAAAATGAAATATTCTTTAAAATGCTTAATTGCACATGTAGTTCCACAGTATTTTTTCTTAAAGCTTGGCAAACAAAAACAAAATATAGAATGCTGAAGTACAATTTATAAATAAAAATGTTAAGAAAGAAAACAGGAGCCATAACCTGGGACTTATATTTTCCTAGTAATGATTAGGTACTCTTTTTTCCTAAAATTAAAAATGAATAGATTGAGCAGACCAATTAATAATAAATATATAACTAGTTGAATAAGGTAATATCTCATTGATGTTTATAGCAGGTTAAAAGCTTAAAATTGCATCTACCCACATATCTATAAATTTAAGTACAATTACAACAAAATTTTACCAGAATCCGTGCATCCTGCAATTGTTGACACTGCACGTGAAGAATAAATGGTTCAAATTTCAAAGTGGCATCACCATTTGCTTTCTTCAGAGCCACAATCTAAATAAATGAAAAGTGGTATCAGACACAAGCCTATGGCTTGTCCTTTGATTACCCTTTACCCCATACATAACTTCAATTTCTCTTAGAAATTTTCAGAATCACTCAGCGTATTTTTTTTCTGCAGTAACTTTTCCCTCTGCTTTCTTGGTTCTTTTTCACCCAAAATTTGCTTATTTTCTTAAAATTTCTAGTTCTCCCATAAATCTTCTATACCATTCTTTCCATCTATTAGTGTACTTTGAAGAAGTAAACTACTACTTTATTTAATTCTGTAACAGATCTTTCATTAAGGAATGGAGTATAAAAACTGTATTAGGATTGTTTAAATTTTTTGTTAGATTGAGATACAGAGAAATGTAATGTAAGAGAAGGGTCCAAACAAAGCCTAACTGCCACCCATGTTCCCAAGAAGCATTCTGTACCAAGCACCAGTGCTTACCAGCTGCACTATTAAGCTCACAAATAGCCGTGCATGCAAAGAGCTCAGTGCACAGCCAGCAAGTTCCTGTTCCCTCTGTAATAGGCACACATACAATTCCCTTGGAACTGCTTAGCTACATGAGAACAAATGGCTCCTGAGCATGTTCCTAGCTTTCTGTATTTCAGACCCTATGGGGCAGTGGTCAGGGTCTGGGGGCTACTGCAGCACAAAGTGGGGTACATGCCATCACTCTGCCCTGATCAGCTGTGGAACCCATCTGCTAGCCATGGGGACTGACACATTGAAGGGCTAGATCTTGTGTACTCTCTTTCCTCCTGCTGTAAGCAAATGTTACAACACTTGACCCTAGCATGCATGTTTGTTGTTGTTAGTGACCTTAAGTCATGTACTAGTCTCTTCCCTAGGTAGCACTTGCCTGTCTTTTAACTTTGGCTGCACCGATGTTACAGTGCATCCAGCGGCATAGTCTGACCACCTAGTGAAACATGTAATATTGTGTCTGAGCTATAATTTATACAAGACAGTTATTATTTCTGTCTGCCCAGTATCCCTGGGCAACATCATCCGTCCTTCATGCCATTTGATTTCTGGTAGGGCTGTCAATCATTACCCTGTCACACATCACTCTCCCTATCACAGTATCAGAGGTGCCAAGTGCTTGCTTATGTCTGATCAAGGATATTATTATAGTCCACTAGCAAAATTAATTGACCTAAGAGAGAGAGCACCTAATGTAAGCAGGACAACTCTGAGTCCTTCTCTAGGATGAATACATGAATTGCAGGAAAAGGAATTCTTTTTCTACTGGTGTTGCTGGCAGCTACCATTTCTGCAACAAAGATTATCTGCAGCAGAAGAGAATAAAGGCACATTGCAAAGAGAACCACTGCCCAAAGATGGAGATGAAGTGGGTACTCAGAAGATAAGATTTGAACATCTGAATCAGCAATACTTGATTCAAGCTCTATCCGTCCTTTCCAGTTAAATAATCTTTTTTGCTTAAAACAGAATTGGATTTGTAAATTCACTGGGAATAAAAAGTGCCTGGCTGATAAAAACTTATGAATTCATCTAAACTCTTTATCTTAGAGAACTCAATAACCCAGCAGAGATATGAAGATTTTCAAAAAGCAGTGCAGGTAAGTCATGTATAATTTATTTATATCAGTAAAGCTGGTAACACAGAGATAGTGCTAATCCCCTTCTCTTTCTACAGTTTGTTCTAGGTTACAGGGTTATCAAATAGCAGAATTAAAATTCAAAATTTGGATCCAATAGGTGTCCAATATCTATGAACTTTCTGCTATGTCCAAAAGGATGTGTTGAGTAGCAGTAAGTAATGCTTCCATACTTTTATCTCCTACAACCCAAAAAAAGTCATTGTAATGAAAGCTCTCTAGGTTTCATAATGTTCAGCCATTATAATTCTGCATATAAATTACTTTGAATTTTCTATTCTTGTCATATGTATTTAAAGTACCTGAATTTAAAAGTTTATTTCCAAAACTTACCACATCATCTTTTTCACAAGGTTTGTGTGTAACTAGTAGCCAGCCACAGTTTTGTTTCTGAACCTCAAAACCATTTATACCCTAAAATAAAAAGTAACATAATTTGTTAATCATACAATATTTTACAAAAATAATAAGCATAATGTATAGCATGTTGTAGGCTTTCTTAAACTAATAATCCCAAGTTAGGATTTTAAGTATTAATAAAAACAATTCGGTATTTTTGGGTAATGTTAACCCAGAATAAGAATGAGCCCAAATAACCTGAGGTAGAAAATTATTTGAAAGGTAAAACTACTTGATAAACATCTTCTGAAATACGGTCATGATTTTGCAACAAGAAAAGGGATTAGTACAAGGGATAATACTAGCAGCACCTGAGTTGTACTCTATTTGGCTAGCGAAGTATTTAAAAAATGAAAAAAAAAAAAAAAGAATTTTAATTCCTTTTGTAGGACAACACTGTCCTAATTCCACACAAGACCTACTACCCTTAATTGTACCTATGCCATTTACACATTTATAATACTTTCTTAGTTTCTAGAGGCATAAATTCGTGACCTCTGAATTAGACTGCATATGTAGTCCTGAAGGATGGGGCTAAGACTGAAAGGTCAAAATTTCAAGAAGGCAAACATTTTAATATTAACTTAAATTGGACAAATGCTTATTTGCAAAGTTCTATTAGGTACTTTGGGTATACATAGAACCTACCCCTCAAGGGCACTGGAAAGAGGATGCAGGAAACCACATGAACAGAAATCACTATACTCAAAGTAACTATAATTCATACGATGGATCCACAAGAGACTCTGCTGTCTGGCCTTGGAACGGGGAATTGCTATGCATGTCCTAAGTAAATATTCTGACTTCATTGTATGACTTCGGTGATGATGACTTATGTATCTGATGTTGTGCTGGCTACTCTAAATCTTAGAGCCAAATATATGGCCCACTTCTAGCCACTTCACATAATCTAATGGTAGGATTGGAAACTAATGCCATCACTGGCTTCATCTTATCTATATTTTCTTTATTCAGATTTTCCCACTTTTTATTTTTTTGTGTGTGTTGCCTGTTTGTAAGTTGCCCAAAATCCTTACTGAAATAAGGCAGATTTTAAAATAAACTATAATACAAGGTGTAAGATAAGAAATAAAAGTCTAACCAGTTCAGAAGCAGTCATTATTCCCAAGTAGGTAGTATGGGTTTGTGAGTGTGTTCAAGTGGGAGAGTGGAGTTTTTGGAATCATGCCTCAGATATGCAGAGATGGGAAAACATTTCAGGAAAATAAAAAAAAAAAAAACCAACACCCAAAAACGTGAGCAAAAGCAAACAAATGCAAGATGAAAAAGAACAGTTCAGTTTCAGCAACTAGCTAAAGATGAAGGAAAGCAATGAAAAAAAAAGGTTGAAAGGTATACTAGAGTAAGCATTTGGATATTCCGATGTAGAAAAATGTGTAATAAAATACAACATAGGTGAGAGATAAGCAGAGTTGTGATTTGTCAAACATGGTTTGGAGAAGAGCAGTTAAGTGGCTTGTTAGAGAATCATTGCAAAAGTCAAGGTGAGATAGAGTTGTGGAAATGGGGCAAGTGAGAGTGTGTGGCAAGAATGCCATTGCTCTGGAGGTAATGGAAGTGATTTAAAAATGAACAGGCCCTGCTAACTTGAGAGATGAGCAAATAAATGATCAGTCAATAATGGACCTAAAGAATGAGCCTAATAACGTGCTGTCTTCCATGCTGTTAACCTAATATTACAAATAAAATCAGTACATAGCCAACTTTTACAGTGCATGGGCCAGGCACAATGCCAAATATTTCAAATAAATTATCCTATTTTCTCCACACAAAATCCCTATAAAGCAGATACTTTTCATTATCCTCAGTTCATAGAACAGGAAGGGCAGAGTTGAGATAACTTTCCTAAGGTCACATTAAAGAGAAGACCACCCCTCATACCGTCTTATGCCCAATTTCTGCCTCCAAAGAAAGAAGTAAAAACTAAAAGGCAGAAATGAAATCCACGGCAGACAGCCCGGTGCCACGCCCTGGGCCTGGTAGTTAAAGATCGACCCCTGACCTAATAGGTTCTGTTATCTATAGATTACAGACATTGTATAGAAATGCACTGTGAAAATCCCTATCTTGTTTTGTTTTGATCTAATTACCAGTGAATGCAGCCCCAGTCACATACCCCTTGCTTGCTCAATCAATCACGACCCTCTCACATGCACCCCCTTAGAGTTGTGAGCCCTTAAAAGGGACAGGAATTGCTCACTCAGGGAGCTTGGTTCTTGAGACAGGAGTCTTGCCGATGCCCCTGGTCGAATAAACCCCTTCCTTAACTTGTTGTCTGAGGAGTGTTGTTTGCGGCTCGTCCTGCTACATTTCTTGGTTCCCTAACCAGGAAGTGAGATGATTGGTGGACGGTTGAGGCAGCTCCTTAGGTGGGTTAAGCCTGCCCTGTGGAACATCCCTGAGTGGGACCCCAAGCAGCCGGAGCGACCCGGATCCTGAGAGCACTCCCGGGTAGGTATTTGCCCCGGTGGGGTGCCTCGCCAGAGCAGTGTGTGGCAGGCCCCTGTGGAGGATCAAAGCAGTGGCTGAATACCTGGAAGGAACGGGCACTTGGAGTCTGGACATCTAAAACTTGGTAAGACTAGTCTTTGAAACTTGCCAACTGTAAGTGGAAGCGTGGCCTGATCACCCATGGTGTGCCTTTATCAGCACTTTGGTTTTGGTTTTGACTTGGTTTGAACTGCTTGACAGGATTGGTCTTGGGAACTTGCCTACTCCATTTGAGTGGAAGTGTGGCCTGATCACCCATGGTGTGCCTTTATCAGCACTTTGGTTTTGGTTTTGGTTTTGACTTGGTTTGAATTGCTTGACAGGATTGGTTTTGGGAACTTGCCTACTCCATTGGAGTGGAAGTGTGGCCTGATCACCCACGGTGTGCCTGTACCAGCACTTTGGTTTTTATTTTTGACTTGACTTGGCTTGCTTGATACTTTGGTTTTGGTTTTGACCTGGCTTGGATTTCTGGATACTCTGATTTTGGTTTTGATTTTGGTTTTGCGCAAACTGCAAAAGTGTGCGTGTGCCCTTTTTACTCGTTCTCTGTTTTGTGGTGTGCGTGTGGTGTGAGCGTGGTGTTTTGTCTTGAAGAAGCGTAGGTCAGGCACAAATAAGTCCACCCTACTAGGAACCATGTTGAAAATTTTGAAAAAAACATTTAAAGGAGACTATGGAGTACTATGACACCAGGAAAACTTAAAACTTTGTGTAAGATAGACTGGCCAGCATTAGAGGTAGGTTGGCCATTAGAAGGAAGCCTGGGCTGGGCACAGTGGCTCACGCCTGTAATCCCAGCACTTTGGGAGATCAAGGTGGGTGGATCACGAGGTCAGGAGATCGAGACTATCCCGGCTAACACGGTGAAACCCCGTCTCTATTAAAAATTCAAAAAAATTAGCCACGTGCAATGGCGGGCACCTGTGGTCCCAGCTACTCGGGAGGTTGAGGCAGAAGAATGGCATGAACCCAGGAGATGGAGCTTGCAGTGAGCCGAGATCGCACCACTGCCCTCCAGCCTGGGCAACAGAGAGAGACTCTGTCTCAAAAAGAAAAAAAAAAAAAAAAAAAAAAAAGAAGGAAGCCTGGACAGGTCCCTTGTTTCAAAGATATGGCACAAGGTAACCTGCAAGCCAAGGAACCCAGACCAATTACTGTACTTAGACACTTGGTTACAGCTGGTTTTAGACCCCCTGCCCCAAACACACAGTGGTTTAGAGAACAGCAGCATAAGCAGCTGGCAGAGGCAAGGAAAGATCAGCAGAGAGAAAGAAAGGAAAGAGGTAGAGAGGAAAAGAGGCAAAGAGAGAGAGGAAGAGACAGACAAAGAGGGAGTCGAGGAGAGAGAGAAAGAATGAGAATGGCAGAGAGAGAATGGCAGAGACAGAGAAGAGATGGAGGCAAAAGGAAAGTCAAAGAGAGAGAACAAAGTCAAAGAGAGAAAGAACGAGAGATATACAAGTAGTTAAAAAAAAAAAGAAGTGTACCTTATTCCTTTGAAAGTCAAGGTAAATTTAAAACCTATAATTAATAATTGAAGGTATTCTCTGTAACCCTATAACCCTCCAATACCACTTTGTTGTCAGTGTAAACAAGGGCATATCCCGAAAGCACTGAGGCTTTCCTATCAAAAATCCTTAACCCAGTAACCCATGGATGGCCCAAATGCATTCAATCTGTAGCAGCAACTGTTTTGCTAACAAAAGAAAAAGAAACCAAGGGGGGGTAGAGGGGATTTATATAAAAAGAATGTTATATAGTAAATTCTTGTCCTGAAATAAATTAACTGGTTGTTTAAAGAAAGAAATGTTTGTAATAAGTCAGAAAGTTAAGGCATGTCAAAAAATTGCCTGTAAAAGTCATGAAAGAAAAAAAGGTTATTAAAAAAAGTTATAAAAAAGAATTTATGCAAAAAATGTTGTATAATTTAAATGTAACTAAGCCTTCTGAATGTAAAACTATGGGGGAATAAAACAGTTTATGTGCAAGGTGTGTAAGAAAAATAAAATATACCTTTGGTAAAAGGATTATAAGGTGGCATAAGAATGTACATTTTTACCTACATTAAAAACTTTTTAAAAAATTATTGTTTTGAAGGTTTAAGCAAGTTTTAAAACATTAATTGTAAAGAAAATTCTGTGTGTAAACATATTAAAGTTAAAGAAGTATCATCCAGTTTTTCTGTGAACTGGACATTAAAGTAAAAGCATAACACATTTTTCTTAAAGCACCAACCTTCTCTTTAGCAAATATTATAAAAGGTTAAAAAGAGTCTACAAAATCTTACCTTATGGTCAAACATTAAAAAATTAGATAAATATGTCTACAAGGTTTTATTACAATTATGTTTAACATTAACAACCCACTAATATAAAGATAAAATTTAGCTTATCTCGTATAAAAATCATATGAGAAGCACTGTTAAATGTAAAATGGTATTTGGCTTTCTTTGGTTTAAAAACTAATAAAAATAGGTGCTAAAGGAAATTTCTCAGTAGGCA